CTTGGTTCGCGTTTATTAATTATTGTTCGTTGATCGGGGGTTGGTTTTTTCCCTTGAAAAGTCAACCAATTTCCAATCAATGACGATAATTACTTGGTCTCTTGATTAATTTTTCATTTTAAAAGTTTCAATTTCAATTTCATGATTCAAACTGAAGTTCCTTTTTAAATATTTTTCATGATTCAATTTTTAATCTAAGTTACTTCATTACTTCTAAGTTACTTCATTCAACTACCATTCTACCAAATTTCAACTTTTATTTCAGCAAAAATGTTGCGGCCACAAACAAGTTGGCACATTATTTATGCCCATTCCAAAAGTTTACATTTTTGATAAATTTGTAGTAAGAAAGAAGGAGCAAACAGACTGCAGTCCAGCTAGGCCAAAGCGTTGAAAGCAAGTGCGTTATGTTCAGGGTGAAATCTTAATTCAGACTGAGTTTTGATTCTCAATGCATTTTAATTGGATAATTGATACTACTGTAAAATTACTATTGGCTGCTTGAGTTTTAGTTCCATTTATATCATCAAAGAGTCATACGACAGGGATAAATTTCGAAATGACACAGTGCAGTGAGATTACTATTTTTAGAATAGTGAAGGAAAATTAATTTACGCTGCTAATTTAATCTTTTACACGTTCTTTATTTTGCTTATTTCTTTATTTTACATATATCAATATATATATATATATATATTGATATAAGATAAAAAGTATGTGAGCCGGGATATTCACTGGCAGAGCTGGACGGTATATTGTAATTTTCAGACGGCTATGCCAAAAGTTCGTTACTTAAAACATTCAAAACACTTTACTTAGATACGTTACCAACTGATCGGCATCCTTGTAAGATCTATACAAAGAAAGAGTTACAATAAAGATTTAAATCACAATAATTGTTTGAATACATAAAACACTTTATAGGGAAGTTCTAACATTTATTTGCAATAGTCCCTTAACTCTCTATTTTAATTTAGGTATTTCTACTTCCTAAAAACGTCTAAAATAAAAAAAAAATCTAAAAATATTAACACGCTAATAATAAATCAATCTGACCTGCATCATTTCAAAATTAATCCATGTAATAGGCTTCTTGTATCACGCTAATGATACAGACACTACATAAAAGTATTCAGCAAAAATTATTTCATTTGTAGCTGAAACGTGTTATAAACCAACAGAGATTAAATCTGAACCGAAACTAAATTATTGTGAACAGGGATTTCATCTTGACACGTTGCATTCCTGCTTTTGCTTGTTGTTATGAGAACATGATTCTGTTTATCTCTCGTTCATTTAATCTATCTTCGTAACGATTCAAAAAGATGTAAATCTGATCAAGAACGGACGCAGAGATTGAGCTCATTTCGATGTGTAATTCGCATTAAGAATGGATTTGTCAAGAAAAGAAATGTTCTATGGACCATGTTGACTGCAACTACTTCTCTATGCAACTCCATGTCAAAAACTTCTAAATTATTGTTATTATTATTATTGTATATATATCCATAAAGTTGAATATCTAAATTTAATGCATTATGTAAACTGTTTTTAGTGTTTGCATAATGCGCCAACTTTAGATGAAATAAAAGTTGCTGAATTAAATACTATTCCATGTACAGAATATTTTTAAAAATATGAAAGAGTGTCTTATCCAAGTTCATTATAAACACATACTTTTCGCAATTTAATAGTATTATCAGTCACACTGTTCGAAATAAATAACTTAAAGTTCGGTGTATTTATTTATGACAAAGCACTCTAGGGCAATCAGCCTAAGGGAAGGTATGCCTTCGAGGAGACTTTCTAAGGGAAACTGTCTCGTATATACACTGGGGATATAAATTAAAAGAATTTGCATATTTGATCTACGATCTCCAGAACTACTGGACAGAATAATAAATAAAATTTGGTGTGAACATAGGTTGATATAACACATACAAAATAAACGTTCAACAGTTATAATAGACACACATATTCGTTAATAGGCGGCATGGTACTTACAGCCCTACAGGCCTCGCAGGGTGATGTCATACTGGAAATAAAGGCAGTTTATTAGTGCCTGTGGCAACTGGTCCCACTCATTCAGCAACGCTGTTTTCAGTTCTTGGATGGTTCTCGGAGCGCAGTGGCGAATCACACGGACGGTGCGAATAGCTAACAGGCTATTCACACCACCTACATATGCGCATGCGCACAATCAGCCCAGGTACCAGCGTTTTACGCCGATTTCCGTAAGGCAGGCGGTAGTGAGAGCGAAAGTTGTTAACCCTAACTAAGCAATAGAAAGGATTGTTAACAGTTCACCAGCAAGAAACTAATTTGCAAGTAATAATTATCAGTTACAAAGACGAGGTCAATTTATATACATGATAATGTTCAGGAAATGATTAGATAAAATAGGGATTTAATGATGGTTCTAACTGCAAGTGAAGACGAGTAATTAGTTAAAAAAATTTTAGTGTATTGACAAAAAGGCTACAGAAATTACTTAAACTCTTTTATTTAACAGAGGAATTTTTATGCAAACTTAGACCCTATTCTTATAGCATATGACTATCAAAATTTATTATTCAATAAGAAAACTTACTGAAAATGATAATATTCTTATAATTCATCAGTTTTCAGTATCCTAACAGGTTTATAGATTCAAATGCCATATTTCAAAATCAAAGTTATTTATGAAATAAAACCATACAAAATATGATAAATCATTTGTATGTGCAAATTTTTAAATCAAAATCTCTTACATTAAATTATTTCTGTCTTTTAAATTGCATCCCATTATTTATTTCAATTTAATTGATTAATGTGTTTGTACTAATATTTCAAAGTTCTTTGAAGCACTTTTTGTGTTCTGAAAATGCCAAGTATTTCCATAAAAAAATAAGCATGCGTACAGAATAATTAATTTAATAGTTGATATAATCGCATTTAACTTATTTTATGTCTAAATTTTCTACACAGAAATCCTCTCTCTAATTTTTACTATCTTTTATCAGACGAAATTTTTCAAAGAGGAATAAATTAAAGTCTTGATTGCGCAAAACACATCTTTAAAGTTAAATGTATTCTAAGAAGTACAAAAAATGTAAACAAGATTTTGTCCCCGCCCCCTAAATCAGTCATTAGAACTATTCAAACCGTTCAGGAAAAGAATAAACATTGCGAACATAAAAATCTGCCCTTTTTTATATATAGTTTAATAAAAGGAAATGTGTTCCTTCTTTTTATAAAAAAAAGGAACCCATTTTCCTTTGTAAACTTTTGAAAGTCGCCAACGTTTAAAAAATGATAAACTACGCCATGGTAGAAACCCGCCTTTTTTTTAAAAAAAAGGTTCACTAGAACAGTTCACGTACGTAAAATCCGTTCCTTTCGATTGGGTTCTATTGACGGATCTGACAACTCAATGCGCATGCGTGGCTAATGTTGGTGCGAATAGCTTAAGCGGCTAATCGCACCGGTAGTGCGAATAGCATCGGCCATCTCGGAGGGGGTTACGAGTTGCAATTGCCCTTTCCAGAGCACTTTATTTGCTACAGGTTTGAAAAAGAAGATATTTAGAAGGCCGTCATGTTTATTTACATCTCACCTCTCTTTTCTCTGTTAGGATATTTTTCTATGGTGAATCACACTCACATATATATCCATTCAGTATTCAATGGCATTTCATGTTACAGAGTTATATTTTCATTTCTTTCGAAAAAAGGACTAAATATTTTTCAAGTTTTAACATTATTGCAATTTATTAAAAAATATAAATTTGCATTATCAACATATAAAATGAACTTGATACTTGAATTTTAAATTATTTTAACCGTGCTGCCATCTAGTAGCTGCAATTCCTACATGTGCAGTGGCACGTATATGGTCCCACCTTTTAATTTCAACCATTCTGAATTAATATATATGAATTCAAATAGTAATTTTATTGGAAAAGGAAACTTTCACATAAAATTATTCATTCTAGCACCAAAAAGTGTTGTTAAGACGATTTAAATTACATTAGAAATAAATAAAAAAACTGCTTCAAAATTAGATCTGCAAAGAATTTTTATTTTACATTATTTCCATTAATGAATACTAGGGCTGTCATCTGTTATACATTTAGAGAACTAAAAGGCTAAAACTGTATGTATTTTAAATGGAATTTTGCAGCTTTCATCTGGGAGATAAAAACTGATAAAAAAGGTGGGACTCCTGGCGTCCCACCGCCCGTCAAAGAAAGGATAGAGAGGCTTTCATGGGAGAGTTTTAAGTTAAACTCGTTGTTACTCGTGTGACATATGGGAAAACTACAAAAACTCCCATGGACCCAGTCCGTTTGCTGGGATTTGAACCCAAACGTAACTTATACTGTTCAGTTATTTTACCGCTCAGATGCTTGCAGGCGTTGTGGGAAGTTACACGCAATGACTATTTCTGTAGTAACACTCCTTTAATGATAGCCAGAGCTGAGGTGTTATCTCGAAATAAATTTTCATTAGTACAAAAGCAGATTTCGATGCGGACATTTGAAGCAGGGATAATGAGCATCTAGCAAGTTTAGATTACGAGGGAAAGCTGACACTGTTTTGTTAATTGCTTTGACTTCAAAAGTTTAAATAATGGAGAATTTTCTTTCTAGTTTTACATTAATTACTAATTGAAACGTAAGATACATTATTACATCACATGACAATTCAAAAACATTAACACAATTTAGAAATCCGTCGCCATAAGCAAAGATTTTAATCATTGTTCTTTAAAATTTTAATAAGAGAAAAGTCTAACGACCGTGGTTCAACCAATTATCTTAACTCAACAGTGTTAAAGTGTCTTCAGAAATGTCATTACTCTCTTGTCAGTGTTTTAAGGCTCCTCAGAATAAAAGATAAGAAGCTGTATCAATTACGACCTGTAACTCTGATCTTGACCGTCATGGTCAGAGAAAGCGGTCGATTCCCTTTCAGTGTAGCATAACGACCCATTCAATTGTCTCTTAGCAACAGCCTTGGCCGATATTGAAAAGTCACACACTGGCCGATCGTTCCGCAAACTGTGGCGGTTTTGGTTTCATAGGGTCACTCATGCATCTTGTCTGGGAATGGCTATCACATGGATGAAGGAGCAGAGAAGATACCGGTGAGCATGAATTTCGTTCTTTTCGATAAACGTTTAGGCCGCGAATGATGATTTCAAAATAAGGCGCTGCAAAGCACTTGAATAAAACAAGATTTTTAACTTCATCATTTGAAAAAGATTGATTAATGCATTTACTGCCATAATTATTACAAGGTATATAAGTAAAAGTTATTATTATTATTGTGCCAACAGAATTATGCATATTATTAGATAATTATGAATGTTTTTGCGTTGTCTGTCAATGTAGCTTGTAGAGAAAAGTTTATAGTGCGTAATATTGTACATTAGTAACTCCGCACTGAAGGTATTTTGAATGCGAGGGGTGTGAATTGTGCTCTTCGTTCGTGAATGTAAGCTTGCATGAAATACGAATTGAAATTTAAGCACAGGCCAGTGGTGCGTACCTCGTGGAATGCGTTTTTCTTTGACTTTTACTAAAGAAGCCCTAAAAGTTTCTATGAATATTCATTTTTTCCTTCAATACGTCCCTTTTAGATAAGATAATTTTTGACATTTTTAGTTGCTAAATGCAATTAAGATCAGCAAGTGTAAAATAAATACTGTTTTAGAAATGCAAATTTCATTGTAATCTTGTCTAGTGACAAATAAGTTTTTAGGATTTTTTGTTTTCATGCTATCTTTTTTTTTTTTTTTTTTTTTTTTTTTTTAGTGGGGGGAGGACTTTCGTGTGAATAATTCCCCCATTTAAAAAGTTTACAGAAATCTCATTTATGTGATAGAGAATACAAATACTGAAATTTCTTAAGTGTAATTTAAGGTAGAGCTTAGCGAGATGATTCCTGTTTCAAAAAGCAATTACCTATGTTAAAAGTGTATAGCTAAACGCTACATATGGAATACCTGTAACAGTCTTTATTTTTTCAAGGAATGCAATGGTACATTTCGTAATACGACCTGTTGCTTTGTCTTTATGAAATTTTATTCTTTGGAAGTCATTGGGATATTTCTTCTGAAATATAGGACATAAAAACTTTCTGTTCACGGCAAGTTAAGTTGCTTTTAACCTTTTCCCACTCTTCTTATATTTAATTTCTCATCATAAGAGAATCCTGTGACAATCACAAACCCCTTATTAAAAGTTCCTTTGCATTGACGGAACCACGTTTGTACATTTTTTTCTATTAGTTTTCAATAATAAATAGACCTTTTCTTTTTGTTATATTTCACAACGTTTTAGAATTAGCGAATAGAAATGTTTCTCTTCGGAAAGTGCAAAAGCATATATTTTAATCTGTACCTTGTTTATATGTGATATTTTGAGAGAAGAATATATTTAAAAGTAGCAGGCGATATTCTTATTTCAAATAATAAACTGTTGCCAGAAATTTTCATTCCAAAACATTTGATTTTTTTGCCTTCTTTATCGAAATCGTTCAAAAATGTGTAAACATTTTATGTGTTTGTAAAAACTTTCCACATGTAAAATATCCTCTATTCTATTAAGTGCCTGGGTAAAAAATAAGAGCTCTGTTTTTTTTTTCTTTTATATTTATTTTTGTAGAAATATTTTATCGTTTTCTGTTAATTGCAAGTCTCTTTTCATGAAATATTCCTCGCCATCTAAAATCTGTTGTAATTCTATACAAATATCTTGAGAGTAGAAAACCATATGCATGAATATTTAAAATAAGAGAACGGAGAAGAAAACTTTCAGCTGATTTGAGCATATTTTGTTTTCGTAATAGAGCAAAACCTGACACGCGTAAACGGATTCACACAGCATCGTTTATGGGCTTCGAGATGCACCCCACAATTTCGCACAGCTTGCTTGTTAGAAAAAGGACGAAGCGGAAAGCAGACTCTGCATGGCTAGCAACAAGGCGAAGCAGGGAAAAATGGTTTCGCAATTATAATAGTGGTATTTAAAGACTTGATTCCTTTATTATTATAGATTTGGTTCCTTTATTGTTATAGAAAGTTGTTATAATCAATTTAGGACAACGGGATATAGTCATAATAAAATGGGGAATAAATTGACTATTAGCGAATTAGTTTGCGGGGATTTATTGAAGTTATTTAACAGTTATTTTTATTTTTGAAGCAATTTTCCTCTTACTCGTGCTTACAATGCAAATGAGGTAGCACGCGAGGTAGAGAAAAGGTAATTGTTATGGGAGGTTTTGGGAGGGGAATTTAGAGATAGAGAGTGTGTGTTCTGCCTGCCTGAAGGCCACGTTTTCTCTTTGAATTTATTAGCAATTAGATTTCTGTAGTGTTCAGCGGTTCTAGCCATTAGGCTTCTTTATACCCTTTCTCTGGCCTTTTTGGTACTTCAGAATTAAGGATAATCCTTTACATAGTCTTAACATCTCTTTAGTTTAATGCTCGCGAAGAAGCCAGACGTTCCAAGTTAATGATTTTGAGTTATGTATTTTATATATCTATATCTATTTATCTATCTATTTATTTGTATATATAGATAGATAGGTATGAATATATCTGTAATGATATTTTTAAATCAATTGATTAAATTAAATTCTAATAATATTGCTTAATAATGTGTTGGCGATTCTCTACCTAAATTGCATCCCTGTTCCTAAATTTTTGGCGAAATCCTTTCTTTAGTATAAAATATATTAACCTGTTGGCGCCCGCCAAATCGCCAAACTCATAAATCTGTCATATTACATAAAGTCCTTAAGAACACTCCTGATGAGAAGATAGCGTCACCTCGTAATTTCAATTAATATCGCTGATTGGATGACCCTCGTGACGCACACATATGTATAAGTAGGGCTTCTGCTCAAGGTACGATAAGAACGCTTGTGAGATGGATGCTAAAATAAACCTACCACTTTATATTCCAAAATTTGTCTCATTCCTGTTGCCCCGGCTGCACAAAACAAATAATGTATGAGAAATTACATTTCATATATATACACGCACATAAATATATGGCAGTGTGTTTTAACAGAAGAGTATCTTGTGTAGTTTCAAGTCACAGTGTTTACAGAACTGTTAATACATTTTCCGACGCTTCTGAGTATTTCTTATCTGTTTTTCATTTATTTATTATTATACACTTATATTTCATTAATTAGCGATTACTGAAAAGAAAAATTTCATCTTAAGGAAATATATTTCTTTTATTCGAGAGAATTTTAAGTTTACGTTATATGCAAATGGCAAGAAAAACCTACTGTGGTTAGAAAATTTAAGTCATGTTACATTAAAAAAAGTAAATCTCAGTTTACTTAAGATACAATAACACGCCGAACAAATATTAATTTAGAAGTCAAACAACACAATTTGAAAATATAATGCTGATTTTTGTTGTTTGACTTCTAAATTAGTACTCAGTTTATTTATCAAAGGTTTTTTGGAGGATCCCTTTAAAGTTTAAAAAATTCTTGAAATGTTTAATAAAATGAGCAATAATTTCTTTTGTGGTATAGCTGAAGAACAACTTTTTTCCATCTCAGTGTTTGAAAGAAAGTAACATTGATTTATTTATAAAAATTCACTTCACGCCCAAGAATGTGCAATATGGAGCAAATCCCTTTATAAGTTGCGTGCTGCTGTTTAAAATATTTCCATCGAAAAGTATAGATTTATAGATCGAATGTGTAGACTCCATTTAAATATTAAGGGTAAGATATAAATAATGCGCTTTTTTAAAAGGCTTAAGATCTATCCTAGTCTATCAGTCACATAATCCGTGAATAATCCTAATCTAGTCTATCAGTCACATAATCCGTGAATAAATCGTCATCAAAATGTTGTTTATGCTTACAATATTAATTAAGTAAGCGAGTTTCTGGCAAATATAAAATGCTCGGAGATCAATAATGAGGCTAGAAAACAAAAAGGAATAACATTAACAATAAATATTTTTTAAATAGAATAAACTCATTGCTAAGCAACACGTTAACTGCAATTCTGTACCATGAAATGTAATATAAGGGATTAGATATGTTTTTATTTATTACACGAGTAAGAGTTATTAGAATTTTCGGTACTGGGAATATAAAATGTTAATTGTATCCATAGGGATTTTTAAAATGCGGCAAACTCATTGTTAAGCAATATGTTAACTAGTTCTGTACCGAGAAATGTAATACAAGACATTAGAAATATGCTTTATGTATTGTATGAATAAAGGCTGTCAGAATTTTCGGTGCAGAGAATGTAAAAAGTTAACTGTGCCCATGGGATTGTCTTTCCATATTACATCTCGCATTCTATAGACTTAAAAATAAAATAAAATTATGAGGTATTTTCTCCCTCCTTTCTTCATACCTTCATGGTAGCATGCTCGACGCGTATTTGAGAGGTCCAGGGTTCGATTCCTAGCGAGGGTACTGTACATTTTCCACATCTTCTGCTTCAAAAAAAAAAAAAAAAAAAAAAAAAAAAAAAAAACCTAATGACTCTAAAATAAACTGTTCGAAAAATATTAAAAGACGGAAAACATTGTCTCACATTCCTCTAAAATAACAGGCAAAATCTAGACAATTGGTTGACATATAATATCACTGTGGCACTAGTGGCGCTAAGATGAGTTTATGTGTTCCTGTGGCCGTCGCTACGCGGAGCAGGAGGTATAAACGTCCGCTTCCAGCTTCTCAGCTCATTCTGCTCTGGAACACAGTAATGATTTTTATTAACTTTCTTGAATAATATTGCTACTTTTTTGCTGTTTTTTAGGTGAAATGAGTACACCTCATCTCTTAGACAAATGTATGAGATGGAGAACCGTTGGTAGGTTTGAGGCATGGTAATTCCAAATCCAGGTTGCAATAGACTGAATATAACACCAGGTGTCACATCTAATTTATGGAATCAGTTTAAAATCGCGGGATTGTGTCCAAAGGGCCCCCGAGAGCCTTAATTACCAATGACGATCCGTATTTTGGTATTTTCAGCCAACCGCCAGAGGACGTCTACAGCCATACAGCTGGCTTGTGACCTCACTACTGCCACAGAAACATCTCTTTCAAGGAAGACAGTTGCCAGAAGGCTCAATGAGATAGTACTGT